ATATATATATATATATATATATATATATTGATATTTTTTATTTTAGTGTATCAAATTACTTAAAATGTTATGGTCAGATTATCAATTTAATCTGTGAAATCGATGTACACTTAAATTGAATTTTAATGTATTTTATTTTTTTTTCTTTGTGATGAATAACTGATAATAACTATTTAACTTAACAGTACACTCCTGACTATTGCGACTCATACCCCTAACATCTGCCTCTTACAGGTGATTTAAAAATATTTTGTGTATATGTCTGACCTAGGGAAAATCTCTAAGTCTGATATGTGGAGCTCTGAGTTGGCTCACAGACTACGAGCAGAAGAGGAAGCAAGAGGCTGCTACTCTGCTGCAGCAAGAAGAAGTAGATCTTTCCACCTCCATTGGTCCTTCCTCTCCTACAAGCTCGTCAGCCGAGCCTGACTGGATTACAGAATTTGTTCAGAAAAAAGCTGAACGTGATTTTGTGACAAAGTTGAAAGTAAGGGGTACCAGAAGTCTAAAATTAGATTTTCATCTACTGAGTTTTAGAGTTAAATCAAATGTGAAAATGTATGTTCTTGTCCGTAAGGAGGAGGACAATAAAAGACAGAAAAGAGAAGAACGTTTAAAAATTATAAAAAACAACGTGGAGCTGAAATATGCAATCAAAAGAAAGGTAAGTGATGGTATATTCAAAATGTTTGGCAATAGAAAATCCTCACAGTTACACTGTTATTCAACTGAATTGTACGTTTCTTCAAATCTCTCTGTAGAGGAGTGAGGATGATGAGGCATTCCGGTTGCTCCAGCTCAGTAAAGAAGAACATCCAGAGACTCAAGGAGAAAAGGAGGACGAGGAGCTTATTGTTGTAGAATACGAGAGTGACGACGACGCAAAAAACAACAGCAGGTGAAAGCAGAAATGAACTGAAACAAAAAAAATATAACATGTCATGCCAAGGGTGAAAGCAGAAATGAACTGAAACAAATAAAATATAACAGGTCATGCCAAGAACTGTTTGAATAAAAAAACTGACAGCAGCCTTGATTGTATTGCATGTACAGATTCTTCTCACCAAACGACGATGAAGACGATGCGGATGTGAATGAAGAACATGTTACCAAGGTGCGTGACAGATAAACGGAAGGGAAGCAAGTGAGAAATAAGTTCTTGTTTACAAACCACATTTCCAGAAAGAATTTACACTTTCCAACTGCTCACCACCCTGGGGTTCGTGAGGGGCTTCCCATGGAATATGGCACGCATATTGACATAAGTGTACCGCTGCTGTAATGCATAAATAACAAGCCCCCAGTCACTAGATGGCAGGAACTTACTGTGGTTTGTACAGGAAAAAAAATGAACACATTTCTGTTTCCAACAGGGGGCGTAACGGAAAATAATTAAGAACCACTGCACTGAAATGAATGTTGTTGCCCGAGCGGGGTGGATTCACACATACGGTGGAAAAATGAGCAGAGATAGGTGATTCCCCAAGATCGCAATTGTTATTATTTGAACACAATATGCAGCAGTTTCTAAAAAAAAAGCTGCTGCATATTGCTCAGGTGAGAGACTCTGAAACACCCCTCCCTCCAGGGGCAGCGACAGGACCTAAACCCCCGGCCCCAAAAAACAAAACATAAACCTGCACAAACCCACAGTGACATTCAACAAAACAAACAGGCCTAGATACTGACCAACAGTCCCCCACCTCTATAAATAGGGCCACATAGTCTGACCCCCAATCATGATAGCCAGCAGGTTTGCACAGTGCCCTCTAGTGGCAGGGTGGGTAATACTATCCTTATCCATTGACATTAATGTGGCCCTTGACTCATTTGAGCTTAGACGCTTAAGGTAATGTTTTCTATATATATATTTTTTTTTTGTTATAGATTTACTACTGTAGCCGGACCCACTCCCAGCTGACCCAGTTTGTCCATGAGGTGCAAAAAAGTCCCTTCAGTAAAGATGTTAGTTTGGTTACTCTGGGATCAAGACAGGTATCTGCATACACACACACACACAGAAGAATTGAAATCCGACTCTGTTAATTATTTTCATATGTATTTGTTGGTGATGTTGGTGAGTTAAAAATGCTCACTCATGTAGGTTATTTTGCCATCATGGTAGAAGAAGGCAATGTTACTTGGAAGTGAACAAGCTAATGTATGGATTTTCAGCTAGTCTAGGTCTGAGAGAAAACTCTATTGAACACAAGTTTGGAAATGAACAGCTAAATATTTCTTTGAATTCAGAGGTTTCAATCACTCAGCCCAGAGCAGCATACCTTGAATTGCATGAAACAATATGGTCTGTATTTTTGCACTGCAAAACTGCAATTAATAATAAATAAATATACCTTTTTTCCCCTGTTGAATATATTTGATATTGTGTTCTTTCAGAATTTGTGCGTCAACGAGGAGGTGCGTCAACTGAGCAGCATGCAACGCATTAACGACCGTTGCATGGAGATGCAGAAGAATAAACACGGTCAGAGCACAACATTACTATTAGGGATGCACCGATTGTGAAATTTTGGGACGAAATTCCTACTACTACTTTGTTACTAACGTTACAAACATTACGTACAACTTACTAGAACTATTTCGAAAGGCTTCTCTTGTACCACTGGAAATTTAGACGTTCGTTATTTTCACACTGACAGCCGCTAGAGGGCACTCTAGGCTTGTGTACCAGTATGTGCTACCCCTGTACCACTGACAATATACATGTTCATTGTTTTCACATTGAGAGCCACTAGAGGGCACTCTAGGCTTGCGTACTAGTATGTGCTACCCCTGTACCACTGACAATATACATGTTCATTGTTTTCACATTGAGAGCCACTAGAGGGCATTCTAGGCTTGTGTACCAGTATATACTACCCCTGTACCACTGAAAATATACATGTTCGTTACTTTCATACTGACAGCCGCTAGAGGCCGCTCTAGCTAGCTGGTGCGACTTATAAATGTTTTTTTTTTCTTCTTCATTATGCATTTGACTGGTGCTACTTATACTCAGGAGCGACTTACAATCTGGAATATTTCACCATCTGTGACTTATTGGTGTCAATTACATGATGACCGATGGCAGTTAACAGATGCACATCAGCGGTTACCAATGTCTCTTACTGTGCACGTTCTCCATGTTTGTTTTTTTAGATAAGGGTCAGCCCAGTGTTGAAGGACCTAAGAGCAGACGAGGCCCGGCAAAGAGTGTGTGTCCCTACAATAAATCTACTGCACTGAACCTAATGAGGGATGAAATTCTGGGGCTGGTTCATGACATTGAACAATTGCTAAAGCTGGGCAAAGAATTTCGTTCGTGTCCTTACTATTCCACACGACTGGCTATTCCACCTGCACAGGTACAACACCGTGCTTGCTGTAGTGTCAAATGGAATTTTCAGTACATGAGCAGATTTGACTTGCTCTTCATTTCCTGTAAACATCTGTGCAGTTGGTGGTGTTGCCTTATCAGATGGTACTTCATGAAGCCACGAGAAAAGCGGCAGGAATCCAGTTAAAAGGACAGGTATTTTCTGATTCTGACTTTTCAATACTTTCATTTTTCACACTGTTATCCGACCTAATACTTCATTCCCCAGCGATTAATTTGTATTTTTAATGTTACAAACATGTCTTTGCAGGTGGTGATCATAGATGAAGCCCACAATCTCAGCGACACTCTCACATGTATACACAGCGTGGAGGTGTCTGGAGCACAGGTAAACACATTTTAACCACTCTCTTTACACATATCTGATGAGTCCGTCGTTGGCCCCGAGATGTTCTCAAGTCTTCTTAACCTTCAGCTCAGTCGGGCTTTCTCTCAGCTCAGCCAGTATGCTGACCGCTACAAGTAAGTTTCACAAATGTGTAGTAAATCATAACTTAAAACTTGTTGTTTTTTTACGTACACTTGACACTCCTTGTCGTGTTTGTGTTTGATACCAGGACTAGATTAAAGGCAAAGAACCTGATGTACATTAAACAGATACTGTTTGTAATCGAAAGGCTGGTGCAGGTGTTGGGAGGTCAGTGTTTTCTTCTTATAAATACCACGGGGGGGTAAACTGGCAAGATGTGAAAACTGAACTGTGTTCCTTTTGCTTTTTTTTTTTTAATCTTCAGGGAATGTACAGCAGAATCCACAGAGCCAGACGCAAGTGCAAACAGGTCAAAAGAAGTGACGACGCGTGGACATGACACTTTATACAGGAATAACCGAAATTGACAAGAATAACATTTCTCCTATTTTCCCCCCAGGCACAGAAATGCTCACCATTAACAACTTCCTCTTTAAGGCTCAGATCGACAATATAAACTTTTTTAAGGTATTCAACAGTGAAGGTCCAGTCTGTATTGCGTGGGAAGGTCTATTTACAAAATCAGTTACCACATTTTCTGGATTATAAGTCAAACCAGCCAGAAAAAGCATAATGAAGAAGAAAAAAAACATATACAAGTCGCTCTGGAGTATAAGGTGCAACAATGCCCTCTAGCGGCTCTCAGTGTGAAAATAACAACTTTTGTAACAAATTTTCAGTGGTACAGGAGTAGCAGATCCTGGTACATAACCTTAGAGTGCCCTCTAGTGGCTTATATATTTTAATATATAAGTTGCACCTGAGTATAAGTCGCAAATCCAGCCAAAGGAGGGAAAAAAAGGTGTGACTTATAGTTCGGAAAATACGGTACCTGATTTTATGGTTTGTCAGTGTTTGCTTTTAATGTGGCTTCTTTGTGCGTAGTATTTTTTTTTTCTTCTTCTTCTTCATTTCCTGTTGCTGCTATTCCCCTCTCTTTCCTCTAGTTTCTTACTTCACACACACTCCGCTGCTCAAAGTCAAAGTCAACCATCTTAGCTTCTTAGTTTCCAGACAAACAACCATTCATACTCATAATCAGTGCAGCTAATGTAATGCATTAAAAAAAATTTTATTTTTTTATTTCAATGAAAGTCTACACAGGTATGTTGAAATCTGATCCAATTATTTCTCCCTACCCCAATTTCGTCTAGCTTACTCCATCATTTCCTTTCATCGCACTCGAACAATTATCAGCTCTGCTCTGCATTCTTCTCCTATACACCATAACTACCAAGTTCCTCCCAGGGAAGGACATTTTTTTTAAAGTCAATTATTTGGAAACAGAGAGATATCAAGCGCACTGAAAGATAATATACACATATTGAATGAATAAGAGAAACACAAAGTACAAATTAAACCAGCAACCGAGTGAACTTTCAAAAAGTCGTCTTCCACGACCTATGATGCTTCTCGTTCTTGTTCTGGTCTTTGCTATTCTCTTGGTGCCTTCCTCTAAACCAGGGGCACTTGGTAGCCCCCACGGACTGCCTAAGGCAGGGGTGTCAAACTCAAATTCACAGTGGGCCAAAATTTAAAAACTAGGACGAAGTCACGAGCCAAATTTCATATTTATTTGAAAATTTGATGGCAATTGTGCATGTTTTCCCTTCTCTCCAGATCTGTAATGTAGAATTTTTTTCATATGGAAAGAAAACTTTAGTTTTGTGTAAACATCCAATCTTTTAGTTTTTTTCCACAGGCCAACAATTAAAAAAAAACCCCAAAATGTACGTGCTATTACATAGCGCATACACCGCTAATACTACAAATTCTGCCAGTATTTATTTACTAGTTGTTATATTGAATTAACATTTCCTTTTTAGTTACAGGCATACTTTGAGAAGAGCATGATCAGCAGAAAAGTGAGTTTTTGTTAATGTCATATATTTGTGCACGTGACACCTACAACATATTTTACATTAGAAAAAAATACTTGGGGCCTGTTTAGATGAAAACAACACACACGTCTTTCCAGGAATTGAAGAAAGACACAAAAACACAGATTGTTTTGTTTTTTTTTTTAGATTTTCAGACCAATTAAATTAAACTGGATAATTTTACACAGCACAATGAACAAAATGAATATGCTTATTTCCTCTCTGCAGCTAAGTGGCTTTGTGGAGAAGTACACAGGATCAGGTATGAACCTACACCCCCAGAGTAGCTCTAACAAGGACAACCGACGAACGGAGGGGTTAAACCGCTACCTGAAAACACTGCAGAGCAACGAAAGCACAGCTCCAGGTTAGAGATTCTGGCTCACTTCCTATTAGGTTTTTCAATGTCAACATTTTCTACAGTGGTCCTAGAGTGGATTTTTTTTTTTTTTTTTATTTTTTTGTTCAATGGGAAAAGCAGATTCTTCAGATTATTGTTCTAAAATTGATTTGTTCCATCGTGTGCAGTGGCCTCACCTGACCAGCAGGAGTCTGTAGAGGCAGAGAAAGCACTGTCTGCCTCTCCTCTAATGCAGCTCGAGACATTCTTTCTTGCTTTCACCAACAGCAACACCGACGGCAGAGTGGTGATACAGAGACATGGTATATTTTCCACAAAATGAAAAAGCGCATACAAACACTTCTATATGATTCCTATATTCATTTTTGGTTGTGGTGTCATCTCTCTAGGTACGTTGTCCGAAAGCAGTGTCAAGTTCCTGCTGTTAAATCCAGCAGTCTACTTTGCACAGGTGCTAAAGGAGTGCAGAGCTGTCATCATTGCGGGAGGCACCATGCAACCTGTGAGTTTAACTAACTAACTATGTTTTTAAAAGATAAAAAAAAAAAGTCTTCTGAACATTTATGTGCTTATTTTTAGGTGTCTGACTTGAAGCAGGAGCTGTTGTTTTCTGCTGGAGTGGTGGAGGAGCGCATTGTTGAGTTTTCCTGCGGTGAGTGCCATTTAAGCTTTTTTTTAGCGACTTAATAACCTAGTTTTTGTCTATCATTGTTCACTGATATATAATATAACATATTCTTGGTGACTCATGAACTCTTGATCCTGTAGTCGTAAAAAAAAAAAAAAACCCCAACAATTAAACAAATACGCAGTTTCTTTATTCTCCGTCTCTTAAAAATCAAGATTTAATTTGCATTGTCTTTTCCTTTTCTGTTTTGTTCAGAATGTCTTGTCCTTTTCTGTTTATATCACGTTCTATAGGGGGTGTGAAAAAAATATCGAAAGACTGAAATATTGCGATATTTTGTTTCAAAATACCGATTAAGAATAAAGTATTGATGGCGCCATTTTAATTTGCTTTTATTTCTTGTAGCAAACTACAAATGCAGCTCCATCTGTTCCAGTTTTAGTAAACCCTTATGTTAAGTGTGTAACAGCGTTTACTTAAAAATAACAAAATGCAAAATTGACACGTTACTCAAACACTTCTACTCCCCCTTGCCCCCGGGACGCGCCATCAGACAGCAAATTACACAAAAGTATATGAAATGACGTTGTGATGATCTTGTTTCAGTTGACTGAAAACTGCCCTGTTTAGTTGAAAACAACGTTGATACGCAGGAATTAAAGGGAGACACAATACCTTCAATTTGAACAAACAAACAAACAAAGACAAATTCTTTGCAAATAAATACCTAATTGTTTTCAGACTAATATTGCGAAATAGGAACATTTTCCCCCCCTAATCACCTGATGATCTCATGCTAATGTTATAGTCTACCATGTAATGTCTCTTTGGTAAATGTGTTTCAGGTCACGTTATTCCTCCAGAAAACATCGTCTCTCTCGCGCTCTGCACCGGACCCTCTGGTCAGGAATTGGACTTTACGTTCCAAAATCGAAATTCTGTAAAAATGGTAAATGTAATTCCTGTATTCACGCGTACACGTTTCGTTTCCTTGAACAATTTTCATTCGCTTAGTTGAGCTTTGTACAAAACTGTTCCCCTCTTATTGGCAGATGGACGAGATTGGACGCGTTCTCTCCAACATTTGCAACATCGTGCCAGGGGGAGTGGTGTGTTTTTTCCCTTCTTACGAGTACTCGAGGCACATCATTTCTCACTGGGAAACTAGCGGAACTCTGGCTCGTCTGGCGATCAAGAAGAAGGTTACTGCGTTCCAACTTCTTTTTCTTTCGGCTGTGTCCCTTTTTCTCTGGGGTTGCCACAGCGAATCACTGATTTTCCATCTCTCCCTGTTCTCTGCATCTTCTACTCTTTGTCTCCTACCTGGTCAGCTCCATCTCTGACATTCTTCTACCAATGTATCCACTGTCCCTCCTCCGCACATGTCCAAACCATCTCGATCTGGCTTCTCTAGCTTTTTCCTCCAAACCTTCCTGTCTGTGTTGTCCCT